GTTGTTCCATTTTTGTTTTTTGTATTTGTTTACTTGTCTTTTTGTTAGTTTTTCAGTTGCACCTGCTGGTAGGTAATAATCAGTTTCATCGGTAGTTTTTGATGCATACTCTAGAATTGTTTTTGGACTTTTGGCGAAGTGATAAGATTTCGTCCATTTATTCAATGTTATAGTTGGTTCATTTACGAATAAAATTGCATTTGGTTGTTTTTCATCACGATCTCTAGACCATTTACTAACCATTTCAATTGCACCAACCAAAAATCTGGAAAGTACAAGACGTTCTCTGAATGTGTTTTCACGTTTGATAACATTAACGCTTCTAAAGCGTTGTTAGTGCTTGGTGTATATTCAGAGTAACCTTCATACCATCTCGAATGAGCCGTTAACCACTCTGATTTTAAATAACGGATAAAATCTTCATGTTTTTCGTATTTTTTTAAAAACAATTCCGATGCTAATTGAAAAGAATCAGTTGAGTTACATATTTGAAGCTTTTCAATGTCACTTATCACTTCATGACGCTCATTTTTATCATTGATTAAACATAACTTGTTATCTAAACATCTGCGTACGTGAGCCCAGCACATAACCATTTTATTTGATCCAAAAATACAACTAAATACATTTCTAATAGCATCTCCGTCAGCAATCAAAACGTCATTATTGCTTTTAAGTGCAGTTTGTGCAATTCTTTTATTTTGAGTTTTGCTTCTTTGAAATACCTTGCTTTGAAAGAGTCAACTCCTCATGATTATGAGGACTTGTAGTTTTATATACTACTTTATATTATATTCTCTTGATTATCATTCAATATAATAAATTATCATTTTATATTAATTATTTGTAATTACATTAAATCAATTTTCAATTAGTTAAGTTATTGATGATTAAGTATATTTATTGATGATTTAGTATATTTATTGATACTTTAGTTAACTTATTGTTATTTAAGTCTTTTTATTGGTCAAAAATGCATTTATTTATTGGTACATTTTTATTGATCGTTCAGTATATTTTATTGATCGATTAAACATAAGTCTTTTTCGAAATTTGAGACCCTTCTAGTATTTTGAAGTTTTTTCATTCAAAAACCAACTTTTTAAAGCCAAAATGTAGATACGCTTAATCAGCTCGCCAAGCTCTATCGATTGATGTATAATTAAGTCAAAAATAAAATGGTGTGAAAAATTCGAATTAGCGGCACCTTACAAAGTTTCTAAGTATCTGATTTTTCCAACGTTGTCTAAAGAATCTACGTTAGAAAAAGATTTTCAAACTTAATTTTTTTATGAAATGATGCGCCAAAATGTCAGCTTCTGGCTGATAAAAATCGCAACTTTCTATGTGTTTCTAGAATATAATCTGAAATTTGATCGAATCCTTTATTTTAACAGAGGGACAGTAGGTTACTTTACTATAGTTTTATTATTTAAATTATTTTGATGTTCAGAGAATAAAATTCTCATATTTAAGAAGAAAACATGCGTATACAAAAGAGATGTACTGTGTACAGCTCGAAATTGAATATATGACTTTGCATCTAATAAGTAAAGCTACTATGAATGAAAAGTATAAAATAGCCGAACTATTACTGATTAAAAATAGTAAAAAAAAAGAGATAGGAATCCCTTGGGTGCGTACATAACGAAGATTATAGTTATATGAATATAGTATTCGACAGCTTGTCCACGTAACTCGAGAGTTCGCTGATCAAGTTTTTGAAAAAATTATTTTAGAGTAGAACTGATAGGAGCATATCACTAGATGCAGTTTTTGACGCTGATTACGAATCTCACATTAGTTTTTGGAAAACGTTAAATTTTGGTACTAAAAATCCAGTTTTACATTTTTTGAAAACTGTATTTTCAATTTCCACACCTAGACACTTTTCCTAATAAAAATGGAAGGCCATACTAATCGATAGAGAATTCGATTCTCTACAAGATGATATGTTTCTTTTGAAGTTTAGACTCAGAACAAGCTTTTTAATAAAGTTTTAAGT